AAATAATATATAAATAAAATAATTTTAAATAATCATAATTATATATTTTAATTATTTTATAATATATATCTATTAAAATATTAAAAATTTATATAATTTAATATAATAATTTTTTATATTATTATATTATTTATTAATTTTAAATTATGTTAGCATTATAATTTTAAATAAAACTATATAGATATTTATATTTTTTTATTATATTATTATTTATGTATTTTATTTTCATTTATAATTTATTTTTACGCTATTTTTTCTTTTTATATTAATAATAAACACAAATAATTTTAATTGAATTTATATATATAAAAATATTTTTTTATTTTAATTAATTTATTAAATAATAATATAAATTATGTTTTAATTAATATATATAAAAATTATATATTATATAAATTTTTTATAAAGATTTAATAAAATATTATATTTAGTAATTATTCATTTTTTATATTTTTTATATTTTTTATATATATTTAATTTATTTAATAAAGTATTTTCATCTATTATTTTTTGTATATTTATATTTTTTATGTACTTTAATATAAAATTTATATAGATATATTTTATTTTTTAAAATTTTTATTTATATAAAATAAGATTATTTAGTTTTATATTATTTAATTCTTTATTTTAAGAACTAAAAAAATTTTATAATTTTTTAAATGAATAAATATTAATATTGATTTATTTTGCGTATATTATAAATTTTAAGCATTAAATTTTATATTAATAACCATTATTGAAATAAAAATTTATTACAAATAATTAAAGATTTTTTTATATAAATTTATATATGAAATATATTTACACAATAAAAATTAATCAATTTTTTTATAAATTTATATTTTTTTAATATTATTTTTAATGATAATTTTTTTCAAAAAATATTTTTAAAATATACAAATATAAAATTTAATTATTTTATGAAACTATTAATAATTTTATTTATTTATGAATCATATTTTGTTCTTAAAAATATATTTACATACATATTTTGTAATTTAAAAAAATAATAGTGAAATTTTAAAAATAAAGATGTTTTTTTTTCAATAATAATAAATATTAAGAAAAAAAAATTATAAATTAAACATTTAATAAAATAATATATAAAAAAAATTATATTTTTATATATAATGTGTTAAATGTTTAATAAATATAGTTTTTTAAAATGTTTTATATATTTTAATTTATTATTATTGCTTTATTAAAAATATACATATTAAATATTTGAAAATTTATATAAAATTCATCGTAAATTAAATAATATATTTTACAACTTAAATAATGAAAAAAAATATAATATTAAAGATTTATAATTTAAAACTGATGATAAATATATTAATAATTTATATATATATTTAAAAATGTTTATAAAAATTAAATTGAAAATGCTAATGTAAATTATTACTATATATATGTTTTTCATTCATATAAAAGTATAATGAAATATAAATTATATATATATTATATATATATATATATATATATATATATATGTATTATTTTTAAAAAAAAAATATTATATTAAATTTATAGTAATATATTTACCTTATATTTAATAAAAATCATATTTTTTTTTAAAAAAAAATATGAATGTTTTATTTAAGATTTTATTTTCATTTATTTTTATATAAATAATTTTTTTTATTAAAAATTAGTATTAATTATTTATATCTTCATAAATAATTAGTTTTAATTAAATATAAAAAATTTATTTAAGATATAAGAAATAAAAAATATAATTTTATTAATATTAACCTTAAATTTATTTAAATATATTATGAAAAAAAAAATATATTAAAAATTAACAAAAATATAAATAAATAATAATAGTATAAATAAAATAAGTAAAAATAATTTTAGATTTGTAATTTTTTATAATTAATATTATTTTTTATAATTAATTAAAATAAAAAATATCTAATTAAAATTTACTAATATAAATATTAATTAAGGTATTTTATTTTTCTATATATATAATTTTTATGATTTTTAATAATAAAACTATTATATATTTTGAAATTAAAAAAAGCTATATAAAATAAAAATAATAAAATAATCTATAAATAAAATGTATAAATTTACAAAAATATAAAAAAATAAAAAATAAAAAAAAAAATGTATATATTATGTTAATATTAATAATAAATAATAATATGAGATAAATATTTTTAAAATTAAAAGGGCCTAAAAAAATATTTAAATAAATACGTATATAAAATATTTACTTTATAATTAAATAAAATTATGTAATTAATATAAATTAAATAATTAACAATATATAGAAAAATATAAAATAATTTATATTTTTTTTTAATCTTTAAATTGTATGGTATTTGTTAATATTTAATATATATCCAAAAAATAACGAGATTAAATTATTTATATATTAAAAGTTTTATAATTAATTATTTTATATGTTTTTCGAATATCATTAAAATAAAAATAAATATGAATTTTCATATACTATTTTTTTTTTTATTTAATTAATAATTTATCGTAAATATTCAAGTTTTCTTCATTTGTTAATATATAATTATATTTTAATTTTATTTTTTATTTATATAATTAGTGAATAATAATTATATTTATTAAAAAAAATGAATAACATTTTTATTATTAATATTAATATATTTTAATTAATTTTTCTTTTTTTACGTATCCATAAATATTGATTTTTTGAAACAAAGAGTATAAAATAAATAAATACTATAAAAATTTTCATAATTAATCTTAAAAAATAATAAATAATCTTATCTTTTTTCAATATACATGTTATAGAAAATAAAATTTAAAAAGAAATATTTAAATATAATTATTTGCATAAATATATATTTATATATATAATTGATTTTTTACTTAAAAAAATTAATAAAAATATAAATAAAAAAATATAATGTTTTAAAAACTAATTCTAATAAATATCTTAATATTTTTTGCTTTCGCAAATTTTTTAAAAACTTAAAATGTGTGCCCTTATGGATGTATATAATGTGATTAATCTGGAGAATGTTAATAATGTTAAGAAGGTTATTAATTAGATTAAGAAAGTAAATAATGCTTAGAAATCGCTACTAGAGTTCTAGATACTGAAAATAATTGTCTTCAAGGATGTGAATGCTCTGATTCTGGATAATGTTAAAGTTGTAAGGTGGGTTTTTATGATAATTAGGTAAATAATATAGGTTATAAATATGTAGAATGTCTTAGCTGTTAAACTTTATACGATAATTGTATAGAATGTAATAAGTACTAATGCATTGTATGTAATACTGGCTATTAATATTGTGGTTATAATAGAAAATGTATGGAAATTATCACGGATCCTAAACTATTAACTTGCGCTGAGGGATGTGATAGTTGTATTTATACAGGAAATTGTGATAAATGTTCTAAAGGCTATCATGAAGTAGTTAAATATGAACCAGAGGTTTATAGATATACATTATGTAAAAAAAGTTGTACTACTATTAGAAATTGTCTAGATTGTGAAGAAAATAATATATGCACAAAATGTGAGTACCCTTGTTATCTTGATACAGAGAAAAATTCATGTATATGATACTCTGATTTTGATAGACTTAAACTTAATGCTTAATACAATTATTAATAATAGAATAGGTTATTAAGGAATTCTTTTTTTTATTATTGGTTATATTTTATTAGGATTATTATATTAATTATCTAATTATTTTTAAGAATATTTATTTATATTTAAGTTAAGTATTTTTTAATTTTTAATATAATAATTATTTAATAATTTTTTTTTATTTTATTTTTACAAATATATAAATATTTATTAATTTTAAATAATATTAAATATAAAAA